CAGGGTATCTCAGCAAGTGTACAGGAAAATTCCCATGCAACAGGAAACAGTCTGTAGGCACACACTCAGCAGGAGCTTGTAGTCCAGCCAGCCAGGCTCCCCTGTTCTGCCGGTGGGGGAGTCAATCAGCCATGAGTGACTGTGCTGGATCCCAAATGTCACCTAGGTCACCAAATGAAGCAGGAAACTGAGATTCCCAGACAGACTACTCTGACACACGAGGAGCAAATAGGCTTTAATGCCAGTGGCTCAGTGAGTGACTCCTGTCAGTCTCGAGAGCCCCAAATAGAAGTTTGTTCTTCCTTATATACCTCTTTTGACATCTACTAGGCTTAATTTCATTGGAGTTTCCCAGGGAATGTAGCAAGTAGGATTTACACAAAGCAGGGGGAGTTCTGGCGGGACTTTCTGAGTCCGTAAAGCTTCTCTGGTGACAGATCACAGAAGTTGTCCTGGTCACTCAGATGCATTCCACAAAGAGCGTACTTATCCAGTTACCCATAGTTGTCCAATAAACAGTTAACCTATAGTGGCCCAATTCCATGCAGAGGGGCAGTTTGCTCTCTCATCACTAGCTCATTTTTCCAATCACCACCACAGGCTTCCTAGAGTCTCTCCTAACATCCCTTCCCCAACCCAGAGCTCCTGGGGCACCCAGAGTGGGCTCCCCTCTAGGACACTTTCTGGTTTGTTCCTGTTTGTTTTTGCTTTTTGCTATTTTTGTACTATGGAGATCGCACCCAGTGAGCTACATCCCCATCCCTGTTTTTGTTTTTGTTTTTGTTTTTGGTACCGGGCATCAAACTTGGATCCTTGCACTTGAGCAGCAGGTGGTGAAACCACTGAGCTAAATCCCAGGCCCCCTGTTTTTATTTTTAAGAGACTGAGTCTTGTTAAGTCACTAAGTTGCTCAGGTGGGGCTCCAACTCTGATCCTCCTGCCTCAGCCTCCCTGGCTGGGACACTCTTCTGATTGTATTTCTATCAAGCCAGAGTCACATGATATGGTGAACAGTGCAGGTGGGGTAATGATCTTCTCCCCATCTCCATAACCCTTGTGAAGAAGGATCCCGAGGTTGGCTTTAGCCACAACAAAGGGTTTGTATTTTACTCGGGCACAGAGCTAAGATGGGCTTTCCTGAAGCCAGATTCAAATACAAGGAACTGATTTGAGAAATCATTTCAGAATGCTCCCGTAGGAAAGCAAGCATGAGCACGTTGCTGCCGTGGGCACCTGGAGCTCAACCCAGAGGGCCTCCTCGGACAAAGTCTGCAGACAGCGCCTCAGCTGTGTCCCTAGACAGGGGTGAAGAGTCTGCAGTATTTACCCACAACTCCTCACCTCACAGTTGCTGAAGGGTGTTTCTGCTCTCCAGGTGCGTGGCTGTGGTGTTTCCCGCCACACACTGTCGTCCTGTACCAGAAAGGCAGGCTCTATGGAACACAGTGAGCATCTCCTATACAACCCTAACCAGTCTCAGATTCTGTGAGAATTCCTCTACTCCCAGTGACTTGTCCTGACATAGCAGGTGCCCAGGAAACATGGAGAGGACAGATGAACTTGATAGTTGCCTGTCATCTCAGGCAATTTGGGAGGCTGGCCAGAGGAACACCATGAGTTCAAGGCCAGCCTGGGCTACATAGGGAGACTCTGTCTCAAAAGAGAGAGAAAGAGAGAAAGAGGAGAGAGAGAGGAGAGATGGGGGGATGAAAGAATGAAAGAAAGAAAAAGAAAGAAAGAAAGAGAAAGAAAGAAAGAAAGAGAAAGACAGAAAGAAAGAGGCTGTCCCTGGCATGCATGAGGCCATGGATTTAATCCCACCACAGCAAAATAGATAGATGACAAATAAAAAATAGAAGAGTGTTTTATCTCCAAGGACTTAGCCACAGGAGAAGTGAGTGAACATTGAGCAATTATTCCCACAGAAATCATACTTCTGCAAACCTGGTAGCCCCTGCCAACTACATAGCAGATTTCAAGAGATGCATTACGAAGGCTGGGAGTGTAACTCAGTGGTAGAGCACTTGCCAGCATGCACAAATCCCTGGCCTCCATCCCCAGCCATGCAAAATGAGGGCGAGCAAGAGAGGCTGGCCTAACCCAGAGCACATTGCCATAGTGATTAGTTGGAGCAGAGGTTCCCACATGGGGTGATTCTACCTCACCTGGGTAATTAACTCTCAGTGTTTGAGGAGATTTCTAGTGGCCACAGCTGAGGAGTTGGTTCTGCTGGTATCTGGCAGACACAGGCCAGATGTGCGGTCAAACATCCCACAAGGCACAAGGCTCCACACAGCAAAGAACAGTCTGGCCCCAAATGTCAATAGCACTGAAGTGGAGAAACCCTAAGTAGAGGCCAGAAAGAGAGGAAAGAGACAGAGCCATGGGGGAGGGAAGTAGAGAGGAAAGAAAGGAGAGAGGGAGGAAACAGGGCCGGGGATTTAGCTCAGTGGTGCCGCTGCCTGCCTCTCAAGGGCAAGGTCCAGAGTTCAGTCCCCGGTACCGCAAATAAAAAGAGAGAGAGAGAGAGGGAGGAAACGAGAGAGGAAAGGAAAGGACAAAGGAAGGGAAAGGGAGAAAAGGA